AACAAATAAAATTGAAGTAGAAATACGTCGATCTTCATTGAAATAAATAAAACAACATGGTTTTTATTTTTCATGGAAATTTTTCATTTATTTCTCTCATTTTATCGAACAATGTATTTCAGATTATGAATAATGTGAAGAATCTTTCTCATTTCTCTCAATCAAAAATCTTCTTTTTTTTGTTTGAATAATTTAATTAAACGTAAAAAATGTCTTTAACTTTATTCAATTGATATGATTTCCATCGCCTCTTCATACAACAAAAAGGATCGTTTTTATTGTTTGTAAAACATATGATACTTTGATCATCTCTCATTTATTCTCTCACTATTTGATCAATTGATATCCTTCTCCATTCTGTTCTGTAACTTTGTCGATTGATTCTGATCTGTCTATTGAGACTAACATAGAAGAGAGAAAAGTATCTTTATATCTTAGATCCAATTGATTGTTTACATCAATAGTGTGAAGATTGAGCGATTGTCTTTTATTTTTCTCTGATTTGATCTGATAAACTAAGAAACATAAGAATTGAAGTTTGAAAAGATTTCGACGAAAGGTTTAACTAATAGAACAATTAATGAGAAGACTTTTTCTTTTCAAATATGAGATATATTTCAATGAGAATATTCGCAAGAAATCAATTGAATAATATAATATTTTGAATTATAGGAATCATTCATGAGAGATATTGAAGAAAAAGTCCTACTTTTCAATTGTTTTCTGTCCTCTATTAGATTTTTACTGATACTTCAGTTTTACACTCGAAAGTCTAGTGTGTAAAGAAACAGTTCATTTACTCAAAAATCCAATTTCTATCTACCAGATATCTTCTATGTTCGTCAATTATTCATTTGTAACTTGTCATCGAATTGTAAGAGATTGTTCAGTTTTGAAAATGCAACTCAAAAATCAATTTCACAAAAAAATCCCAGACAAACAACACATAAATTGTCATAAGCGTCTCAACATCCATATGTGTTTGACATTATCCTTTTCTCCATTGAAAAATGCCTGTTATTTTGCTAAGGTTCTCTCAAATGTCCTTTACAGATGATCTCATAGTAAGTGTACTTCTTTTTCTAACCGATGGACAGATCATCGCTCTTCTGCCCTCTGCAATCTCTCCTATTCAGATTTTCATCCGTTAGTTTTTTGCTGAAAAGAATTGTCATCTTGATTAATATTGATATAGGAGCTAAATAATCTAAGTTTAACGGTTCTTTGAGATAAAAATCTGGGAAAATGTTTTGATCTATTAGAATATTAATAAAGACTAAAGCCCAAATATATGCAAAAGAATATGAAAGTAAATAAGAGAGACAAAGTGTATTTTCATCTCTCGTATGCAATGTATTGAATATTGAATTCGATTTCATATATGTGAACATTTTCTAGAATTTAGTAAAAATCTATAAAGACTTCTATTCATATGTTTCAAAGATTGGTATAAAAAAAAACTGATTTTCCGTACTAAAAGATACGAAATAAAAATGCAACTCTATTGCAGACAACGAACATTATCTCCATGATTTATTGTTCTAGAATAGTACCAGTCACTAATTCTGTCACTAAGTTCTAACATAATAAGAGACAAATCTAATTTTTGGTTTTACTTCTCATATCAATAAACACATGAGGAATGCTAGTTGTAAAAGCGGTGACTTCGAAGACGCTCCAAGTTTTAAATCTTCCTAATCGACGTTTCATTTCAGAAGTTTGTTTATAGGTTATAATACTCAATGGTGGCGGAGCCATTGAGACATTACATATTTTCAAGTTTCTTGGGCAATTGTGGAGAGGTGTCATGAGCAGGGAGTGACCTCCTCAGTAATCGAAAATTATTATATTTTACTGGCTGGAAGATAGGAGTTTATTATTCGATACCTGGTAAAAAAATACTGAAAGATATATTTTTTTCGTGCCCACTACTTTGAGCTGTTTTCACAGACAACAATTTAGTCTTGTTTAAAGATGTGCTCTCTACTAAAAGTCAAGACATAGTGAAAACTTTTTTGAACATATATTTAGAAAGACCGTTCGACGATGATGCTGTTCAACTGCTTTCGAGGTTATCCACGAATGTTTTAATCAATGAAAAATAGACTAACATTTGTGCAGGAACTTTTGTATTACCCGTTATGATTGGGTGTGCATGGAGAAGTTGAGTCGGAGATGTTCAAGTTGTCCATACTCACACACTATTTAACAAAAACCTCCGTATCTAATGATACCATGCATTTCAAGTTTTGAAAAGCAGCATGTTGGTACTGATGGATGCCTAGCTCCATGATTTCCATGTAAAAAGAATTAAAGTTAAAATCAAATTAAAGTCGATTAAGAATCGATGTCTATTCTGATTTTATCCCTAGGTTTGTCCGTCATTATAAGAAATACAGAATATACGATGATTTCACATTAAAGTCAATATCTATGCGGACTTTTTATCCTAACAGACTTTCGACATTTGTTTCCATTCATTCTTTTTTTACGATCATTTTAGTGCACATAATGTTAAAATAAGCAAAAAGATGTTGCTTCATGACATTATATCTTTTCTCAACACAGAAATGAAGTGTAAAAAGATCTAGTCGAATAAAAGCTTTCTCTCATTTAGGTCTTTTAAACAAAAATAAATATCATTTAAATCTTGAAAGAGTAGCAGAATATTTAATTTTTCTAATTGAAAACATATAGTGTCCCTCTATTGTTCTTTCCTGTGCTCATCTCTCTCTCTCTCTTGCTCTCTCCTATATAAGCATGTGTTTTATATAAAGTAGTTACATTCTGAATATGTGAAGTAGCTCAATAAACATCATTACCGAGGATGGCGATAAGCTACTCAATCCAGTTTGTCGTTACACATACTATGAACAAAATGGTAAATAAAATTAGACAAGAATTTTTTTCATTCAAGTGTAGAAAAAAAACCATATTTAAATTGCATATTCATAATATATTTAAGTGAAAATTTTAGGAGTACTTAACAGATAATGCAGTTAACAATATCTGTCTTGTTTAAGGCATATAAGAATGTTTACTCAATGTTAATGTAAGTAGAAAGGCAGACTTCTGAGCGTCGAGTATGAACTTAGTACCGATCATACGATTTTGGATCATTAGACAGAAATGATGTGTCTTCTGTACTTTCGTGAGACAACTCAATAGTTGCAAGCTATTGTCAGGAAATGAATGATGTCATGCTTCTCACACAAAAGCCAGAATTATAAGATGATATCTTTTAAATGCTATTTGAGACGTTCAACATGCAAAAAGAATGTATTTTTCGATATTCGCAATGATATTTATCTAAACGAATTAAAGTAAGAAATGATTCGTTTTGATGATGTAAATCAAAGAGCTGCACCAATTCTTCTTGAAATGGAAGCCAAGAAATAGATGCGCCTCACGATAACTTTAATAGTATGATTTCAAAAAAATCCTTAGTAGAAGTATATTTTTCAGTATATCTTTTAAAACATTTCCTAGTTCTCGATCAGCTCTATACCTCCTGACAAACAAAAAAAATGCTTTTTCTACTGAAGTATTCATCCTTTTCTTCCAGAGGAAACGACTAAATTTTAAAGAAAGAATGTACTCATGAAATTTCGAGATCCTCTCAGAGTTCAAATCAAGATTCAATGAAGATCTTGATCAGTGTATCGCTAGATTTAAAATCAGGAATCAATTCATAAAATTATAAATCATGAAATAAATGTGTAACTACCAAAATGATCTAGATTTTGGCAGGGTACAGAAAAAAGTCTTTGAAGGACAGTGAGCAAGTTTACATTGTTTTTAGATTAGGATCTTGCCAGAACTCCAATGATTCTGAATTGAAATAGAAGTTTCTGTTTATATCCTGTCAGATTTTCTAAAACCAACTAGAATGTAGCATATTATTGTGTAAAACTTTCATGTTCAGTATCTCAAATTTTGACTTAAATAGAAATTTCTACTTGAGTTTTGTATAAACACAAATTAGCGCAAAAAAAATTTTAAATTCATTTTTGTAAGGATACTCAATAGAATCATTTCTAAATCTTGATTGAATCCTTAAAAAATCGAATTCTCAATAGGCTTTAAAACACTAATCTTCAAACATCTTAACTATTTAGATTGTTTACAGTAAACAATAGTCATCAAAGGTTCTAACTAAATCATTATACTTTCTTATCAAGATTTTGATTAGAATTGATATTGTCTTGTAAGATTTGTAAGCACTTCTGAGCAAGATACTAATCCTGGACTCACGCTTCAGACTACGTAGACATCCTGATTTGCGCATCTATCCGATCAACTTCTCACCCAAACATGCGCCTTCATCCTCATATAAATATAGTATGTGTGACGATCTGTAGACCAAGGTGGAAAATAGGCATTCATTTTTTTTGCTATATTCTCTCTAACATTCATTAGGAGTTGCATTTCATAAAACAAATAAAATTCAAGTCGCGCAATTCAAGCTGCAAAATGTTTTCTTATTCGCATCTATCATAATCTAGCTACAGCTTTTCCAACATCTATATATAGTTATATCATAGTTTTTCTGATACTAGGCTGAAAAAATTATAAAAGTGTCTGTCACACTCTGTAATACTTGATAATTTGAGCGATATTTTCACCGTGATTTGTAAAAGACAGAGAGTTTTACTCATGCTATCTATTTGTCACGGGTCTGATGGAACAGTGAGAGGCTAATGATAGAGTAGGATCACTTTTCTTGTTATATATGCTTTAATAGTCATTTTTCATTGTGTTTAACAATATATTATAAATATACAATATACATAAGTTTGCTTATTTTCTTTCAATGATAATAGAAAATTGTATTCTAGGTTATTATATTCAATCCAGAATGAACAATTATGTACTTGATATTTATAATAGTAGTAGTGCTGGACCAGGTACACCTGTTGTAGTATATCTTATGAAAAATAGAACTAGTGAAGATCCATCTAGTCAACTGGTTTTTCGATCAAGATGGAACCATTCGAAATATGGCTACTGGAATGGTGATCAATATCGACGGTGGTATTAAGGGAAGTAATCTAATTATATGGCCAAAAAATATGGGAACAACTCAACAATGGCAATTGGATGGCCTACACATATTATGTCCAGGCGCAAATATAGTTATCGATATCGAAAAGTCTAAAACTGTATCTGGTGCACCTGTTGTTGCATGGTCAAACCACGGAGGTTTGAATCAGCAGTGGAATATTGTTCCAAAACTTCGGTGAAATTCGAAACTCTAATAAAACTTTTCAGTTTAACTACTGTGAAATAAAAACGTGAAATATAATGGATCTTTTCCACTCATACATTAGAGTTCCACCTATATCAATCATATCATACTTGTAGAATAAATAGACTAACATATGCTATCTTTCTGTCATAATATGTGGTGTTGGACGGGTGATGCAAGGTGAGTGCATGTAGGAGAAGAAAAAGAATCACATATATATACAGACTTATTCGTCGAACCTTCTTTGCTTTTTGTTAAGAACTTTTGTCTTTAAAGCCTTGTCTAAAGAAATGTTCGCACAAAGATACAAGTGGCGGTCCATTGATATAGTATCAATATGGATTGAGGCGTCACAGCTCATCAGCTACATTGTTTGATACGTATCTAAAAAGTAATATGTTGAATTCTTGGTATCAGCAGCTATAGAATGATGTTACACAAGTTAGGATGTGGTTATACATAGGTATGTAGATACGGATATGATACGGTTATATTCGAATCTTGATCTGATTGAAATTTTAAATTTGAGGCTCGATTCTACTTCTGTGTCTAAGTTTGGGTATAGAGATAAGGGTCTTCTTGTAACTCACACTCACCTTAGCTCAGTGTTCATTGTTGTCGTTATAGCACAGATTAATACAACAAAAGATCTTCTGACGGTTCTATGTTAATATGAGCATATAGCACTGCTCTTCAGATAATGAATTATGATTTTTCTTTCTACTTGTCAATTATTGTTATAATATATAACGATAATTAGAAAAAATGACTAAATGTCATTAGTTTTTTCATGTTTTCTTTTAGGTTTATTATTAGAAATGAGATCCAAAACCAAATGCCAAACATATTTTAGAGAAAAGTTACCGATAAATTTATTAAACAATTTTGAAAAAAAAGGACATTTGAAAAATTTTTATTAAAAAGTCTTCGTACAGTAATATCTACAGTTTCGAAAACTGTTTACACATGTAACTTTGAAATTATAATTTAGATATTACGGAAGCATATATGACCACTAAATGACTAATTACCTATCAAGAGTTGCTTGAGTATATTCATCGTGAGTTGAACTCAGTGGAACCGCCAATTATTCGCAGTGATGTCGATAAAGCTATTATGCATGCAGTTTCAACTGTGTTTCAGAACTCTACTCATCTATACTGCACTCGTCATACATATAACAATATAGAACGACATCTAATGAAGTATAGAAACCGTAGTGAGGAGTATCGCTCAATAACTGAGCTTATCTTTTATTCTCCCGAAGCGTTAATACAAGCAGAGAACGAAGAAGAATTTGAAGAACGTTTAATTCAGTTAAATTCAATTTTGACAACAATAATGAATAAAGACGAGAATCGTCGCCACGATTGTTCTGATTTTTTTCAATGATTTAACCGTTACCAAGTTGATATATACAAAAGTCATTTGATAACTAATGTACGTTATCGAGCTAAATATATTGATCGAAACGGTACACCACATTTACTCTATAATAATGACAATGAGAGCATCAATTACACTTTAGAATCTGTAACTGATTGAAAACCCAAATCATTGGCTGATATAATCGATATTCTTGATAAACAAATTATAACCCAAAAAAGTCTGTCAATACGCACCTTATTCAACACAGACGAATGGTAGCTAGTACCCACATATCAAGGGTACACAAAAATAAAATTCAGAAATCTCTCTCAATATCAAATTTGTTCAGATTTCTTTATGATGCGCACATCTGGTCCAATCAAACAATAACAGAAAAAAGCAAAATCATCGAGAACTACTAGTCATTTTTGCCACTGACATCATCATTCATTATAATACTTGAATTCAATATACCACCAAAAGCTAGGCGCAAACCAAGCAGATCAGAGCGTCGTCAATCATCCAAAACTTCTTTAATTCATACATAATACATCAATCAGAGTATTTGTAATAACAATTTAATAGCGTTTCCCTATATCACTATCTTAATTAAAAATTAGTCTTATACTTAATAAAAAAGATATCGATTCAATGTTTTCGAGCTAAGTTATGAAACAGAATAAGCTTAGAAGGTAGTTCATATGTGTTAGTGTCCTTGCAGTTTTTAGTATTGTTCGCCTAACTATGCCAAGTCACTAACTTATTGGATGTTAGTAGCTGTTTGTAGAGTCAGCGCGTCGGTCGCTATTGTTTGCTCCACTCATTTGGATGTTTGTAAGAGAAGTGGGTGTTAGTGAGTGTTAACATTTTTTTATTAATGGCTTTTTTAGATTTATTCTTATATATTTGTCGATCAGATGAAATTTATGTAGAACTGACTTC